TTGAGACAAGAGTCTCGCTCTGTTACCTGGACTAGAGTGCCTAGCTCTCAGCAACCTCAAACTCCTGGGCTCAAGCTATCCTTCTGCCTCAGCCTCCTGAGTAGCTGTGATGACAGGTGTACACTATCAGGCCTTGCTAATTTTTTTTTTTTTTAGTAGAGATGGGGTCTTGCTCTTGCTGAGGCGATCTTGAACTCCTGACCTCAAGCAATCCTCCCGCCTCTGTGTGCTAGCCTCCCAGAGTGCTAGGATTACAGGCATGAGCCACCACACCCGGCCGAAATTCATTTTCTCAAAAATGAATGAGCTGGTACTTTTAGGAAAACAAATGACAATTATTTGTTGATTGTGACAGGTTTTAAATACTTAAAGACTTTTTCTGCCAAGGGCAGTGATGATTTTAATGAATATGATTTTTCTATACATATATTGTATAATGAAATGTGTCAATGTTTGGAAGATTTACATAACTCGGTGAACCAGTATTTTTTAGACAAGAAATGCACGATGTTACAAAATCATGCATGAGTAAAAGATCTCTTCAAAGTGCAAGATAGGCTGGGTGTGGTGGCTCACGCCTATAATCCCAGCACTTTGGGATGCCTAGGCTGGAGGATCGCTTAAGCCCAGGAGTTCAAGACCAGCCTGGGCAACATAATAAAACACTGTCTCTACAAGAAATTTAAAAGATGAGCCAGGCATGGAAGTGCACACCTGCAGTCCTAGCTATTTGAGGCTGAGGTGGGAGGACTGCTTGAGCTCCAGAGTTCAAGGTTGCAGTGAGCTATGATTGTGCCATAGCACTCTAGTCTGAGCAACAGAGTGAGACCCTGTCTCTTAAAAAAAAAAAAAATGCAAGATAGACCAGTGGATCTTAATGCAACAGTACATAAAGTTCATTGATATGTTTCCGCATTTCACATTGCAATTAACTTTTAAGAAACTGCCATTGTTGAGTTTGGTATAATATCAAAGAAGAATATTTTAAGTTCTCAGTCCTTCCTTTTCCAACTGCATATTTGTGTGAGAGCATATTTCTTCATATACTATCAAGTCAATATATTGTAACAGATTGAATGCAGAAGATAGGAGAATACAACTATCTTCTAAACCAGACATTGAAGTGATTTGTAAATTTATAAAACAATATTACCTTTTCATTACATTTTTGGGAAAATATTGTTATTTTTCACAAGTAATGTTATTAATTTTAAAGTAATGGATTTATTTTTATTCTTTAGAAATTTAGTAAATATTTTAAATTTTTCTTGGTTTTAAAATTTCTAGTATGTTAAATACTAATAGGTATAAGCCACATAAAGAAGAGTTCTTTGGAGTCCTCAATAGTTGTTACAATAACTGTTAAGAGAGTAAAGAGGTCCTGAGGCCAAAAAAGTTTGAGAACCACTGAGTTAGGCAATAAGGTACCATAGTGAAAAGCATAGGCTCTGGAATCAGCCTGTCTTGCTTTAAATTCAGCCTCCATCTTTAGTAAGTATGTAACTCTGGGTAAATTACTTAAGCTCTCTAAGCTTCAGTTTTCTCATCTGAAAAATGAGAACAATAATATGAATTTTGTAATTGTTAAATTAAAAAATTCATGTAAACTGGCATAATGACTAATATATAGCAAGAGTTCAGATATTTGCTAAGATAATAATAATTCTCATCCTCATTTTATAAGTACTGAATGTGAGTCTGGATTCGGAGAACCACTCTTAGAATTTAATAGAGTTTAAGCTCATATAGGTGAAACAATCTCTAAGGACAAATGGATGTGGTCCAGTTGATGTTCTGTTAGGTATATGGATAGAAATTGAGCAATAATGGATCACCATGACTAAAAAATTCAGATGTCTGTCATCTTGGAATTTACTTGCTCCTTTTCGGAAAGATTTATAACCCTCACGAACACAAACACAAATGAAAAATTACATTATGTACAACAAATGGCATTTTAACTAATCCAGAGAAACTTCTGCTGAGGCATAATCATTTTACTATGCATTGGAAAGTATAGTATAAGCAAATAGCACCCAGCTTCTCAAACAAATAGAAGACAGCCTACATAAATGAAACCCGTAGTGGTGGCCCTTTGCCCAGACAGGGATTTTGAAGCTATAATTAACACTTTAAATTTACACTAGCAAATCAAGCTTTAAAATTAATTGCCATCCACTTATGGGTCCTAGGGAGGTATGTAAACTTGTCAGTTTCCCCCCTCCCCCCCCACAGTTACTTGAAATCATAATCCTTAATTAGAAGATGCAACAAACATTATTAAAAGGTTGTCACATGGCATTGGACTGAGCCACTGAATGGCTCTATCCTGACCCCACTTACTTGAAATAAATAAATACAGGAAAATTTTATTGTAAGTTCTCTTTAATGAGCAAGAGTTCACCAGAGTCAAAACTCCCTAGTTAGGTACTTTTGTAAGC